TAATTGATCGGCTATAGCCGCGGCTAGCCGGTAATAACCGACCGATAACCGACCGTAACCGACCGAGTCCATCCCTAATTCCGTACTTTATTCTCACTCAAATAATGAAAATTCATTAAGATACGGGTTGTGAAAGTTTAGATGCCAATTTCATCTATTATATTTTGGCGATGTTTTATTCTAGGTCTTAAGAAAGCTTTTTTATTTTACTATTATTATTTTTAAGCCCATCCCAGGTCTATTTCACATGCATTTCAGCGACCATTCCTTCAACGCTCTCAAGAATTTCATGTTATTTTGCGAACCATTTCTTGAACTCCTCATTGATACTCACGATCAGCATTTAAAAGATGTTAAAAACGGTGTTGCGGATCCTTCGAAACCTTCAGATCCTAGTTTATTAACGTCAAAGGTTTTATCCATATTTGACGATATTTGGAAAACTTATTATGATGAATCATCTAATAATTTAAAACGAGTATTTTATCAAGAACATTCAGTTTAGTTACTAAATGTTATACCAGGAATTTCCTTTTATCAAATTCACACTTTTTAGAGCTGACGCACACGTTTTTAATCCGTAATCCTGAAAAATCAATAAAATCTTTATATAAAGCTGCTACCTTTATATTTACAAAAAACGCCGAATATACTCTTAGCCCGGGCTTCGATAAAAATATAGTAGGATTGAAAGAATCCAAACAAATATTTGATTTCTTAAAAGATTCAAATAAACAACCTATTGTTGTGGATGCTGATGATGTGATTAACGATCCAGAAGGATATTTGAAGAAATATTGCAAGTTAATTGGAGAGGAATTTAAGGAAGAAATGCTTCATTGGAATGCAACGACAGTTAATGAGTTTAAAGGAAATAACACTATCATTTCAAAACTTATGGTCCAGTAAATATATTTTATTTTAAAAATATTAAGTTAAATTTTTTAATTTGTTTAATCTCTAACATAAATTAAACCCAACTAGTGATGCGGAAAACAGTACTGGCTTTAATAAATTTACTAGTATATATGTTTATCCTGAAATTGAATATCCACAAATCGTCTATGATGCCATCGCTGAAAACAAACCGTATTATGATTATTTATATCAGTTCAAGATTTGATTAGCATTCTATGTAAAAAAGAAAGTTTCCATAAATTATTAGGCTAGAGACATCAGAAAATTTAAAACCTGATTATAATCGGTTGCAATTCTTTTGCTTTGTTAAATACAACTGAAAATATCAGGATGGTGTCCAAAATTTCCGAATATTACACAACAGCTCGTAAATAATCAAACAAATTTTGACAAATGAAAATTAAACTCGTGGTTTGGAATTGGGGTGAGGTATATAGTTTACCAAAATTTTACAAGAAATGTTTTTTTTAAAAGCCAAATGATGGAAATTTTGAAATATCAAGTTGTTTTTTATTGCTCATATACTTTGTGAAAGGCTACTGCCCAATAAATTTTGTTTTTTCATTGTTTTACTACTTTAATTATTTCATTTTTATTTTAATCAATCATTATCGTTATACGTACGTATAATTATATTCAAATACATTAACGTTAGGTAAATTTATCGTATATAGTAACAAAAATAAACAATGCGTACGTTGAGAAGTGGTGACTATCAAGGTGTCGGCTAACACAAACGCCATTCGAAGTTGAAAACGATCTTTTTCAAATAAAAAAATATATTTTGAATGAGATGCCTGAAAACACTTCAGCTAAGATTATACGGGGCGAGTATTATGAAAAAGATGCTTATGAATTCGATACATACCCGTATAAAGATGCCAATGGTGTTATCTTTTACGGGGAACGGCTTTGGTTGAAAAATAAATCGAAACAGGTGTTTGAGAAGATTATCAAAATGTATAAAAACGACGGTGGTTTATTTGATAATTCTGACGAACCTATTATGAGGATGATTATATCGATTATCATGAAAAGATAGATTTTTACGATATGGGTATTAAGGATGAAAATTATGATATCTTGGCAGAACGACTTTCTCATCTTGATGATTTTATAAAACAATCATTAAAGAAGTTGTTGATAAAATTAAACGGGGTAATCAATATATCACGATAAAGCTTGATAAGAATGAAATCATTACGGGTGAAGCTTATGAAACAAAGCTATCTCGTTTTACGTTTTCTGGTCTCGGGTACTATCTGGTGGATGAATTTTATAATGATATTAAGAGGAATTTCGTAAAAGATTAAAAGATTGTGATATTACCAAATTTGATGATGTATGTTCTATTAGTCTCAGATTTAGATACAATATTGATCATGAACTTTTAAAAAACAAGTATCTTAGACATTCTAAATAATCATATCTAGATGTGTCGGTGATGTTTTTGCCGCAAAGATGTTTTTACCTAACGAAACATCATGAGATTTCTTCCTTTGAAATCCAAGTATAAGATAGAGTTGGCATTCGAAACGAAACCTACTCGAAACTAGTTTCGGAAGACTCTAATCCGAAACTACGAAACACAAAATTCCGAAACTATAATCCGCAACCCCGAAACTATAGTCTAAAATTTTTAAAAATTATAAATTAAAAAATACATTTAGACTAACAAAGTAATAACGATATGTAATAAATTAATCATTCTGTTTATTTCAAATAGCTCAATAAACGGAATATTTATTATGCCAGAAAGCATTATAATTACGGTTTTTCTAAGTATTTGGAATATTCCATTGCCTTTTAAAATGATTATAATCTTCCAATTTATGCAATAGCACAAAGTTTTTTTTAATACTACCAGCCATTTGTTACTATTGTTTTCTTCAATCATTTTTGTTGCTGCGTCCTGGATTCAAATAAATAATCAGAGTTATAATCTTCCGGAAATGCATAAAAATTAAATCTACAAGATTTTCTGGTTCATTTGCATTTTCTTGATTAGTTTTTATAATTGATTTCAATTTCCATTCTTTTTTTGTTTATTGTTAATGGAATTTGGTTACGGCAATAACATATATTTTTAGGATAGTGTGTTTATTGGATTTCATGCCTTTAATGATCGCTTTTCACTTTAAAGAATCGAAAAAAAATCCCTTAATAAATTATGTTAATATTTTGATAAATATTATTATCAAACTGATAATATCATATATCGATATGATTTTCAAAACTTTTTTGGGTGGCGATTTTACCCCGGTCTAAATTGATCAATAATTTATCGAATCGGCAGAATACCCATTCGGTTAATTTTTCATAAGGTGTCCCAGGAATAATGATAACAGCTGTAAATCCGAATCTATAATTAAATCCAGATATAAATTATTAAATCCAGATCAAAGTCATTATAGCAATTCAGCGATCACGGGTTAGTTAATCAACTTTATATATTTATTGTAAAGATACAATCTGTAACTATTCTGTATTATAAAAACTGGTTTAACCCTTCGGATTTGGCCAAAAAGGTTTCGGTACCAACTCTAGTATTAGATTATGTATTTGCAGGAAGAAGGCCTTCTTGTGTGCGAGAAATTTGTTAGCGATAGGATTCGTATCGATCCAGATAAACACGTCTTTGTATCTATATTTGGGAATATTTTTACTGTGGAATTGATAGCAGATGTATCGGACGAAGGCATCGAATTAAGACTTTGTGACAAGAGGGGTATTTACTTTTTCTCTAAATTGAGGGTTAGCACGAAAACTTTGTTACCATATATGCGTATGAATATGAAAATTCTCTACAAGTATTGTAAATTTCAATATACCGTTAACAAGAAATTTAATTTTTTGGAGTATAAGAATAACCATTTAGTGAAGAATACAAAGTTAGATACGTATATTCGAGATAAATACATAAAGAGCCGACGAAAATGTCAAATAATATGTTTAGTAAGTATTTGATACACAATAGACTGACGAGTAAGATTACATCATTTGACAAGATATATTTGAATACTTAAACCGGGATATAATATGCTATAGTAAAATAGTATAATTTATTAAGAAAATCAACGAAGTTCTAAATGTTCGATTCGGGTAAATAGGAACATGTCTTCGCAATCAATCCACGGCACAATATCATGGGTGATCATATGATTGCACCAAACATCTTTATCTAACATAAAGGCATTATTTTGGTCTCTTGGCAAAGGAACAGCATCTAATTTTAATTTAATATCGTTTTATTGTAAATTTTTTTTCTCAAGAGTTTAGAGATAGATAGTATATGGATTTCGTTTTTTGGGGTTATCGTTATATGATCTAGTTTATGAATTGAGTTTAGTATGAGATTAATTATTTTGTGGTAACGTTTCCTGGGAAAATTATTTTGATATGTTCCAAATTTAAGTGCTTAGTAAAAGAAATATAATCGAATTGGGGTTTCATATTTTTTTGAGTATATAAGTTAATATATTCACGAAAATTGTTTCCAATGGTGAGTTTGTAGAAAATTATATTTCTTATTAATTCACCAAATTTGGGAGTTTCGTGATGGTGGAAATGATCTTTCCAGATGTATTTCACAGCTGATGTCCCCTAGTGTCTACATACGAAGAGATTGGCAAAATTTACGTATCCGATGATTGTATCCAGGATTCCGGTTCGAAAGTTCCGTTGCCAGTCATGATTTTTGATGTATGTTGTAATTAAGCAGGATATCGATATTATATACATTTTAATAAATTTTTACTCGGTAATGAAACTTGATACTGGTTTCATACGTGAGGGTTGATTGACAAACGGTAGATTTACATGGAAGAATATTTTAAGTGGTTGTAAATAAAATATAATAAATTTATAATAAATAGAACGTTAAATCATTTGTAATTTCAATGCTCAGAAGATATATTGCAATTTTTTTTAACTTTTTTTACGGGATATGATCATCCAATCAGATACTTATATTTGCGGACAGACACATACTTGTACTGCATTCCTGGTAATAGGAAATTAGATAGCTGCACAACATAGTCGCGCTAAAACCAGGAACGGGTGGCTTTACTTAGGATGAATATTTAAAAGCGGATAGTGAATAGTAATGATCTACAATAATTTAGTAGTATGAATTCAGTAGTGAGCGCGGTGTCTGGATAATTTTAAAAGTGAGTAGATTAGTGATTTTAACAATGCACGTGTTAGTAGTTTTAAAATTTGGTCAGTAATTCGAACATTGAGGGAAGTTATGTTTCAACAGCACATTTGTTAGTACTTCGAAAAGCATAGGTGCGCTTTGGTCATGTGATTGGAAGAATTCCGGACAGCCAAAGGTGCCGGAAATAAATTCAA